GACACACAGGAGCTCTTTCAAGCTGGGCACCGTTTCATGCACAACACCTGCCCCATCAACCAGGAATCAGAAATACTTTAATAATCCCAGGGAGGGATTACTTTAGTTACATTCCTCCATCTGTAATAGAGTGACTATAGGACCAGTTTCATACAATATATATAATTAGGGGGTCCCCGCTCCATCTCGCCATCGGTTTCGGGGTCCTTGGCCTGGAAAACGTTGAAGACCCCTGACCTAAGATAAGCATGGATCTGTTTCCTTGTTTGTTACTTTTATTATGTATTTATAATTATTAATCCTTTTACTTTAACTGACCTTTACTACAGTTAGAAACAGGAACTTAACCGACCCTTCATAGAAATTCAGATTCAATGTTTTGGCAGAAATCTTACTGAAGACAACCAGAATGGGAGTGGGACGGGACAGGAGTGAAAATCCACTCAGTCTCTAAAGTGAATCTCTGAGTACCTGGAACCAAACACTTGTAGTTGATTGTGAAAGTGAACTTGTGCACAAGTGGATGATTATTTAAATAATCTATTAATCCGATAAATAGTTTCAGCCCTAATTTCCTCACAATTTCAGTAGTTCTGTCCGCAGCTCATCCTCCGACCGGGTCGCACCGCTCCGATTCAGCCTCGCCTCCACGACGAAGGGCCTGACGAACTCTATCAGGTGGGTGCAGCAGCGGCAAAGCGAGAAGACGTCGTCCTCTTCCTGCTCCTTGGTGTTGGGGACGGGCAGCTTGGCCAGCTGGTCCAGCAGCGAGGACAGGGTCATCCCCAGGGAGGACGCCTTCTGGCTGCCCAGCCGCAGCAGCACTGAGGGGGGACGGCAGTTTAGCCAGGGACTGTGCGGGTGGTGGGTGGGGTTAAACATGTCGCCTACCTTTCTGCAAAGGGTTCAGAAGCAGATGGAGACGCTCCGCGATTCCGTCAGGATCGTCGTCTTCCAGCTGCTCCAAAATGCCGATCAGCAACTCTTTGGGTGTGCAGGTCTGCAAAACCGACGAGGTGAAAAGTTTCAGACGCCAATCTTCTACCCACCGTAGGAAAGGTTTGATCCTTCAGCCGCCGCCTGAGGAGCTTCACAGACCTCCAGCAGATGGTTAAAGATGGCCAGGCACTGAGGGAGATGCTGCTCCTCCTTCTTCAGCAGCACCTGGATGAGCGGCGGCAGCAGATTCCAGCCCATGCTCCTCACTACGTTCTGCAGAGGAATCAGAAAAGCGGCGTTGGCGTTACGGTGAGCCGCACGCGGCGGCGGCTCCTCCCAGAACGCTTACCTGGTTCCTTTCATCCAGGACGATGCTGAGGACCTGCGGGCTGTTGCCCTCCTCGATGCAGGTCCGCCCGGCGATGGCGAACACGTCATGATCCTCTGAGGTGTAGCTGTCATCTGGGAGCGCCTCCTGTTGGGAGAAAAACACAAAAACACATTAATATGCAAAGAAACCAGAAACCAGTCAGAACTTTGACTGTATAATAAAAAAAAATCCCGAACAGATCAGTAAAGAAATTTGCTAAAAAAATATAGAAAGAAAAAAATACATTAAAAGGAAAGGAAATTTAAAATACATCTAAAAAAATGTAATATAAAAAATCTCAATTAAAAAGGTTTGGAGAGTAATTTCTAATGTATATTTTTACAGTTTTGCATTTTTTCTGAGTTTATTTCCTAGATTGGTGGTTCCTAGAATTTCTAAAAGTAGAATGGGAGGCAGATCTTTTAGTTCTCAGGCTCCTCTCCTGTGGAACCAACTACCAGTTTTAGTCCCTGTCTACTTTTAAGGCTAGGCTTAAAACTTTCCTTTTTTCTAGTTA